CACTGAAGTTAATATTAAAAAACGAGTTACGGCCTTGCTAAGCGTCCACGAAACGGTCCTTGCTAGGGTTAGAAGACCCATAGACAATCAGTCCTGTATAGACAATCAGAACGTCTGTAAGTAAAGGACAATGCAGTCGTACAGCTCGGCCGGGGCAGCGCTACTAAAACCAGTAGGGCGTCGAGAAAGAGAGAAATTGGAGAGAGAAGGGCAGAGCCGAGAGAGCGAGGGGAAGAGAGTGAGAGAGAGAGAGCGGCGAGAGAGAAGGAAGAGAGAGAGAGAGAGAGAGAGAGAGAGGAAGAGAGAGAGAGAGAGAAGAGTAGAGAGAGAGAATAGTGAGGAAGAGAGAGAGAGAGAGAGAGAGAGAGAGAGAGAGGGAGAGAATGAGGAGAGAGATAGAGAGGGGAAGGAGGAGAGAGTGATAGAGACGAGCAGGAGAGAGAGAGAAGAGAGGAAGAGCTGCGCAGGCGGAAGAGTGAGAGAGAAAAGAGAGAGAGGGGAGGAGAGAGGGGAGAGAGAAAGAAAAGACGAAAGAAAGAGAGGAGAACAAGATATACGGAGGTACGAGGTGAGTGCGAAGGCGAGAGAGAGAGGGAAGAAGAGAGCGGTGAGGGGAAGAAAGAGGCAAGAGGAGAGAGAGAGGAACGAGAGAGAGAGAGAGAGAGAGAAGAGAGAGAGAGGAGAGAGATAAGAGAGAGAGAGAGAGAGGAGTGTGATCGAGAGAGAGAGAGGGAGAAAGCCGAGAGAGAGAGGGAAGAGAGAGAGCGGCAAGGGAAGAAGATAGCAAGAGCGAGAGAGCGAAAGAGAAAGAATGAGAGACAACTGAGGGAGAGCGAACGGCGGCGATGGGAGGGTGCATCTTGATATCGTTTGCGCCCTGGAGTTTAGCATCAAGAACACCTGCCGTCAGGTTGAAGCCTGTCGCTCTGGCGCACTTGTTTTGTAATTATGGGGACTCCTCTGATACAAGGATGATAACAATGACACGAGGGCAGGTGCGCTTTACTAACGTAGTTAACTGTTGCATGTCATGTCTACGATGTTGAAGCAGTCTATGGAAAGTAACTCTTAGTGAAGCAATAGTGCTTGATTTTTAAGGCTCGATCCTGACATAGTCAGAATGCAGCTTGTAGAAGTCGCATGATCTGTCCCGACCGTCGCCGCTCAGTGCCGTCTGTCAACAGTTGGGAACAAATCTTAACCGCCGAGCGTACGGATGCACGATATTCGGCGGCATGGGGGGGGGGGGGAAATCGTCAAAATCGAGTTGGGATGTCGAAGCTGGGGTCAAAGGTCCAACAGTGCAACGAGGTTAAAAGAAGGGGAATCATTCAGCTCCTTAAACTAAGGTATTGGAGGAAATGCATAATTGGCGCAGCAAACATCTAAAACCGGCTCGACCGATACGGCTCGCTGATAGTTGGTGTATAAGGCATCATGGTAGGAAAAGCCATCACTGTGCCGAAATTGGAGGTCACAGGTCAACGGTCAATGGGCACAGGGCAGATTTTAGACATTTTCCGATTGAGACCATGGTCTGACGGAGCGATTGAAAAACTTTTTTGGTTTCAGCGAGTGACCGTGAAGGGCCATTTTATGGCTTTTATTGAAAAGGACCATGAAATCTACTTTCCACTGACAGTGTGAGAGAGTGAAGTGCGGATAACGCTTTTGACCACTCAAGAGGAGCGGTTAAACATGGGATTGTTGACTGTCTGTTAGAGAAAGGAAATTTGACTGCCGGGTTTTGCTAGTAAATCTACTACATGCCTGGATGTTATGAAGGCTACAATGTCACACACTGAAATGTTCAAAGAGCTAAATTGTAAAGAAGGTTTATGCTCCTTAAATCGTATAATTTCTATGGCATGCGTAACTGTCAGGTAAATGTTTACATGTAAACGTCATGCCACTGCAGGCTGGCGCCAGGTGCTTACTGCCAGTGACTGATTAGGTGGTACATGTGAGTTTTGCCTGCGTTAATTGGTTACAAGTGGCAGCTCCTATTGCAGGCGCCTGTAGGCTTGCAGTAGGTAAATGGACGGATGAGTGCTTACCCTATTCTGTCTTGCAAATAGTTGTTGCTACTGACGTCACGATGGGTGCTTCCATCTTTAATGCTGAAGACACTTCGAGGGATTTCTCCCCAAGGATGAAATTCAAACAAGAGAGGGAGGGGGGGTAGGGGGAGGAAAGCGAGGGGACGGGAAAAACTAGGGGGCGGAGGGCCCACCGGGGGCGTGTAGTTTTTTACCGCGGGTGGACGACGAAGATTTGATGGCGTAAAAATCGCCACACCGAACATAAACGGTATTCGTGGGGTTCTTGTATAGTATAAGATACCGAGTCGTGTAACAGTTTAGGTGACATGGGTTAACTGTGCATTGTCAGGTTAAGCTTGGTGTACTGTCGTGCAGTGCATCGCGTGGTACGGGAGTAACAGCAAGGACAGGCGCTCGGATGTCCTGGGCTCGGGAAAGCGCACAATATCTTGACGAGATCGAGTTCCCGGGGGCGCTGGCAACTTTAGTTGGGTGCGGTGGGGAGGGATTTTAAAGCACGGGGGCAGAGGTAAGTTTGAAAGACGGAGGCGCGAAACGATTCGAAGAAAGGAGGGGCAGTTTTGTCCAAACGGGCCGCGCAGCGCCCCGCTTTTCGCCGCAAAACGTAAGGAGAGAACCGCTGCACGTTTAAGGGAGCTCGCTGGCGCATCGGTCGGTGCAGACATCATAACGGATCGCCACGGAAACAGTGTCCATTTTGAGGAGAGGATGTGCGCTGATACGCGATCCCCGTGTGGCATTAAACACTGTTTCGGCGTGTGAAATGTGAACACATTTGGATACTAACAGGTTTACTAAGAATCCCCACCAACTGGCCCACCCACACTCTCCGGGAAGTCACGCGGCAAGTCAGACCGTGTAAGATGATGCGCGTGTCCGCTCCGGCGAGCCACTTTGTTCATGGCAACTGAAATTGTCAGATGTATTTATATTGATTAGCTATCATTTTGTAATAAAAGATACCTGAAAAGGATGTCTGGATGGATTCAGCATGTGTCATCTTAATATGATATAATATATCACATTAGTTTTATTATATTTAGCTTCCTATGACAACAGCAAAAGCTTTTAATATAAAGGAGGAGCAGCACCTTTGATATAGAGACAAATAATAGCAGGTTAGACACCAAATGTTGTGGATAACATTATGCTCAATGACAATTTAGCAGAAATCTTCCTTTTTTTAAAAATCTAACACACCTGAAGCCAAGTAATGAACAGTAATCAAAATATTACCAATCTATACAAGATTTGCAACATAGGCCTTTATTTACATTATGCATATCAAAAGTAGATCATCCAACCATTCATTCAATCAAATGATTAAACAGCCTTTAGATATAAATAACCCTTCATCTATGTATAGTATTTACAGTTTTAAATACTTTTCATTATTATTATAGTGTTAGGTTATGTATATTTATATATATATATATATAGTATATATATATATATATATATGTACTTACTCTAACTAAATAAATTTAGACTATACATTCATGATCTAATTGACATTGTAACTTGTTTACCAAAAAATTGAATGTGACGGGGTGATATTTGCTCTCGGGCATGAAAATTTACTTTTCATTAATATAGTAGGTGCATGGTTACCAGCGTAGAGATGTGAAGAGGCTCAAAATATTCACTAGGATGTTGACTACTGTCTGACAATTGATCATACGTGCTAATGGCCTCCATCTAGCTTTCTGATAGTGATGCATCACTCATGAGTTCCTAGCAATGAAGCAGTGAATGCTAAGCTATCACACTGCATTTGTTTCGCTATAGGTGTAAAGTTTTCATTTCTACTTTCACCACTATAGCGTTTTGCTGGTTTGGCTTCGAGGAACAAGCGAAATGTTCTAAGTATGTCGTCGTGCACACGAATACATCTCGCATACGTGGGCAAATATAAAAGCACTTATTCAATCTAGTCTTTTTTATCATTCAATGAAATGGCACTACTTGAGTTTCTCTCATCCGCTACGATATTGCATAGTTACAAAAAATTCCGGTAAGCTGTTATGACATGTAAAATAAAAACTACTAGTAGAGAATTTGTGATTTAATAAATAATAGCACGTAACTAACATCCCCCAAACTTCCCTGCTGTGTGCACTTTCTGCAGTCAGCTATCAACCTTGGGGGTCCATAAGTGGTCCAGGCAGTCGTGTGCATTAGCTGCAGCCATTCTAATGGCCAAAACACACTGCAGCGACAACGTACAACCGTTAAGTTCAGCTTCAAAGTTGCAGTGACTGGCCCCAGCCACACTGCGGGCGTTAACGACTGGTGTTAGGTCAAAGTTCATCTCATTTCTCGCTACGCAATGGCGGACATTATAAGTTTGTAAACTCGAGACTGCTGATTTCGAATTCCTGAGCAAAGGATAGCCAAATTTATGTATTCTTTTAGCTAGGGAGCCTTTCACAATAAATACCCCAGATCTTATAAAACTGAATTTCCCTGAACATGTAAAAATGGTATGTTCGACAGACGCCATTGCAATCTGCAGACAGGTGAGCAGCCCAATTTTGTTATAAAATGTTTTTATCACGTGAAAACATTTCTAAATCTGTGATTGGCTAGCTATGAAGTTTTGCGTGACGGTGTAACTAGAAATTAGAAATGATTCCAAACATTTTTGTTGTTAAGGTTGTTATCAGACATTATCGCGTGTGCGTGCAACGGCTAACTGGAAACAATAGTTTCTAGTTCCCTTAAATGTGAAACGATACGGTTGGTCGTTGTTGCTGATGTGTGTCTTGACCTTAGAGCAATAATAAATGCAGTTCTACGAAGCTTCGTCAAAGCGCGCGTGCGTAACCATGACGATGCGGGTCGCGATCGTACCGCGTCATCGGCGACTCGATCCCAGGAAATTTCCATCGGCTCTTTCCCGGCAACGCGAGCGCGCCGGCCGGCCGGTAGCGTCCTCTACTGGTGCTTGCAGGAGAGCGGGGAGACACTGCTGAAGTTGCGCGTGCGTCTGCTGTCGCCGGCGTGTGGTGGCGCCCCCTCGGGCAGCGACAGGCTGTTGGGGCGGGAGCGCGGCCCGTGCGACCCCAGCCGTCGCGCGAACACGCTTGGGGTCGTCGCCGCGGCGACACCGTCTCCTCCGCGGAACTCGTCGAAGAAGACGACGATGGCGGAGATGTTGTCTGCTGACCCCAGCGCCCTCGCGTGGTCGACGAGCTTCGAGGCTACGGCAGACCTGTCGCCCGTCGCGCGCATCTCCTTGCTAGTGGAGAGAGAGAGAGAGAGAGAGAGACGAGAGGTCACGCGGGGGTGATAGCACGGTCAGGACTGACTGTCTACTGTCACTTCACGATCGCTAGGCGTGTTACAAACTCGCTGAAAGCACCGTTTTTCTTCACTTCTGCTTTTACCGGAGACTTTACCGGAGAGGTTTTGACTGCTTTTCGTTGTGATGCAGACTTTAAGATTTTTTTTTTGAGAATCGACATTATCTGGAGATTTTGTCATCGACTCATCGCCCCAAACTCATTACTGGATGCAGGCCGGAAATTTATACGTGGTCCTCGGAACCATGAAGGACTCGAGAGTCCCCGATGTAGAAAGCCTCACACGTTGAGAAAATTCACTGTGCTGACTTGTGTCAAAACTCGCTGCCGTTGACGTGAAAGATGGTCAGCACTGTGACAACGTAGTTCTGCTAGCCAACGCGTGATCAGTGTTAAGGTAGAAGTTTCTCAGTTAGACAGTGAGTCCAAGAAGGAAGCCGTTACGTTGTACACGTTGAGACAGTCAATGATAGAAGGAAGCTGTTACGATGTACATGTTGAGACTGTCGTGATTGCAAGAAGAGGGCTGTTACGTTGTACGTGGTGGCGCTAGCATACCGGTCATCGACGGTGAGACAGCGGTTGTTACGTTAGCTGGCTGTCATGTTAGCTCGTGCGCCCCCTACCTTACCAGCCGCTCGTGCGCCCCCTACCTTACCAGCCGCTCGTGCGCCCCCTACCTTACCAGCCGCTCGTGCGCCCCCTACCTT